GCTCCGCGTCCTTTGTGCATAATCTGTCCTGCATTCCGATAAGTCTCCTCTTCCTTCAATCCGTGTCTTTATAAACCGCGAGCCGATTAAATTGGTTACCCTATGGGGAGAACGACGCCAATATACAGGATTTACAGGAACAGAAGAGAATCGAGCCGTACGATTGCCGCGAGTTATTAGAAAATGCTGTTCGGCGAAACGGATGGCTTTAATATTTTTAACGTACGAATCGATTTAACAGCATGACATTAAATAGATTTGACTGATGTCAGAAAAAAGAAGAAAAATAGAGAAAAAAAATTGCGTGTTAAAAGGCTGGCTGTGCATAACGCAACGATTAGATTTTACAATTCAATAATATACTATTTCATATCGGTAATGTAAAAAGGATGTCGATTGTATAAATTTTAATTAGCCTCGCTACACCACTGTTATATATCTATTATTTAATCGGATAGATTTTCCATCGGCACTAGTTGAACCCATAAAATTATGTATTGTTCGAGGTGGTTGAATTTTTGTTAAAATATACACGTGAAAATGAATGTTAAAACATAAGATATTTTATAGGGCGATTGAATATTGTTGGAAGATAAACATTACATGTTCGTATATCATATAATTGTCATAATTATTAAAGTAGAATTTAGAATGGATATTTGTTGGAAATGTGTTAGTAGAGAGTGCTTCGGTGATATATATATATATATATATATATATATAGATGATATTGATTTTAAATAAAAAAAATCAATCTTTCCATTATGATAGGCATCTTCTACTATTCTTACTCCTTCGTCACATTTACATTCGAGTAGTAGTTAAATTAAATGGTAGTAATAAACTGTATGTAAATAAAGGACTCGGCAGGTAAATAAAACGTTGATAGAGTAAAGGAAATAGTAAAATATCGAATATTTCATACTACTTAACCTCGCCTCGGCGCAAAATCGATAAACATGACTCATCGAGGGCACTCGCGGTACATGCTCCTTCCTTTTCCTTCTTTACTTTTCTTCGTCTTTTCTTTTACAACATTTTCTTCATTTTCGTCAGTTTCTGCGACTCGGATAATACATACTTATGGGCAGCTATAGTCGAATAGAAATATATACGTAACGCCAAGACCTCTTCTAAACGTCATTCTTTCGTCTGACTCAGCGGACGCCGACTCGGTATTACGAGAGCTAGGCAACCCCGAGTGACGTTTGTATTGAAAAGTTTAATGCCGGTCTTGTTAAGTTATTAGGGAAGTAGATTTAAAGTTTTTATTTGTTTGTTTGTTTGTTTGTTTTTTTTTTTTTTTAATTTTTTTTTTCTTTTTTTTTTTTTTTTTTTTTTTACCGTGACACAGCTTATTTTCCTTAATAACGGGTGGATTGTCATTACGCGTCGTTTCATGCGAAAAGGAAGGACGGCCGAATCCCTTAACACGACAAGTTGTAAGTCGAGGTTGAGCTCGAGATGCTCGGAGACGAGTTGGTCGTAGAGGCGTAACGAGTCGGAGCGTCGTCGCCTTAGAGAACCGGAGAAGTGCTTGGACGGAGCTCGCGAAGGCGCAACAAGTGGGTGTAGAGCTCGTTGGTGCGGAGCCTCGTCGTGAGGTCGTTTTGAGGTAAAGGCGCCATCAGGAGCGTTGGCACCTGTTTGGTAGGACCGGAACGTGATTCGGGTCACTAGCTCATTTAAGGGAAATCCGGCTGGTAAATAGCTCTAGTCGATTAGTCATGCAGCCCGTTCATTTAAAGCTAATCATCTCGTAAGACAGTTGATATGCGAATGGTGAGCGTGAGGCGGGGCGGGTGGATGAAAGACGCGATGAGGACAGAATGTGGGATGGCGTACCCTAATCACACTAGAGAATACGATTCACTGATCATAGGTGGATGGAATGTTGCGAGGTTGCGGAGGGTAGAGGTTTTCGTTTACGTCGAGGCTGGCTGGCTTCGTGTGGCTTCGTGTTAGGGCGGACACAATTCCACAGAGCCGCAGTCCTCGTTCGACCGATTCTCCTTCCTCAATCTCGTGCCTTCTTCTGGCCTGAGCAAATACTTTCGTACTTACCGAGTATTTCTTGTGCTGGTATAGTTGAGTATTGAGTAATCGATTATCGTTTAACTTATAAGGTTATCGCTGATAAATCGTTAAGTGATTAATAATTTATTGGGACGGCAGACGTAGAGTTCGCATTGTAGTGTAATTTTATTTTTATATTGGATGAAATTATTTTGTCGCGTTGTAATATGCAAATTCTACAGTCTGCGTTGTAAATTTGCTAAATAAAAGTGTATTTTTGTCATGGCACTCTAAGCAATTTGAATCAAAAGATATTCATGATTTTGTAAGAAGGAAAAATGCGATCCATTGTAGAAAGAGACCACCTATATCTAAGTGCATTACTTACATTCAAGTGATATAAAAGTTTTGAAAAATTTTATTATTCAAACATTATCGATTGGATAAGCATTATAGAGCTTCAATCTACGACAAATGTAAAGATTAGCCATTTTAATGTAGAAATTAACCTATGATGAAAATAATTTATTATAACTTTCAATGCCATCTTTATCGTTACTCATTTTTTTCTATTCTCCTTTATCTCCTTCATCCCTTTATTATTATTATTGTTGTTGTTGTTGTTGTTGTTGTTGTTTTTATTATTATTATTATCACTATTATATATTAAATTATGACGTATCATAAATTAAATTTACTTAAATAGTGTTAACCTAGAAAATAACACATGCAATAGCGGTCTACTTATTTGGGTAGAAAATCTTTTCATAATAAGTCTAGTTACTGGAAAATTACTGGGAAAAACTTTTATGTCTGTACAATTTAATTTCACGCTGTCTTATCATGTTGATCTAAAACAATTTGCAAGAATACTACTACAAAATTTTATTTATATATGGGCAAATACGTGCATACAAATAACAGTACAATATTTAAATGTATACATTTAAATAATGAAATTGTCGAGCGCAAAATAATTCGCGAATAAACATATTGCAAATAGGCTTTATATGAAATAATTTTGATAATGTGCACCTTAGGATAATGTAGCTTTCAACTCAACGACTACACGTATATATCTAAATAAATAGTATGTAAAACTATGCGCACGTTTTTTTTTTCTCGCTAACTTTTCTTTAATTTTTTTTTTTTTTTTTTTCCCCCTTTACCTTCTTCTACTCTGTTGCTCTTGCTTTTTCTTCTTTCTTTCGCTTCTTCTCAAGGACTTCTACTTGTCCTAACACCAAAAGCGTGTCCAAACTTTCAAACGCTTTGCCAGGTCCCTCGGGAGCCCACCAGCTTTACTACTTTTTCTCTTCGTCGTTCTCTTCTCTTTTGCTCTTGCTTTTGCTTGCCTACCTTTGCTCTCCTTCGGCAATCCTTTTTTCCCTTTTTTAGCTTGCGCGCCACCATTTTATTTTGCAGTTCTGCAGATTGCCAGACTCGAAAACAGGGCTACTTGAAGCTCTTGTGCGGAAAAATGCAAAGTTCCTTAAAAGTGCCGCGATTTAAAATGCGGAGATGGAAAGAGAGGTAGTTTGAATATCTTCCCTTCGTTATTCTTCACAAAAGCAATATTTGATTTAGAATTTCATTTATAAGGAGCGATATTGCATTTATCTCGCAGATTTAAACTAATAAATTACATGAAGTTGTTATATTAAATAGATAAAAATAGAGGATACCCAACATTTTTTTTCGTTTATTCTCAAAATCAACCTACCGTTGTTTCGTTAATTTTTTTTTTATTTTAGAAAACACCGAGTTTCGTAAATTTATAAACACTTTTTAGTTACTCTTAAATTTACTTTTATTCTACCTATATTTATTATTTCACTTAAATTTCAATTAAATTCTAACAGTATTCTGATAAATCGTACACGAACATTTAATTTAATAAACTTAATGGTTTTATAATAAAATTCTTAAGAATATAGAATAAAGTAGAGATATGAGTTTAACAATTTCATTTAATTAATTATTTTCATAATAAAAAGTGTTTGTTACAAACAACAAATTATAAAAGAAGTTGAAAAACCGATAAAAGTAGCTGATTTAATGGACTTGTTACATAAGAATTCCTTTAGGCCGTCAGGTATATATTTTTGTCTTCTTTTATTACTTGAAGTTAGACGACAAAACGTATTAATAAGCTTATAATTCTTTATTTAATTTAGCTTGATATAATTTTTTTACTTGATCTTACAGAAAATAAACTCTCGACATTTATATGTTTGGAAATTATCAATTATCAAACATTTTTATAAGCTTCTTACTCGTGAAATTAATATTTCATCAGCAATAATCATAGTAATTGTGAATATTTAATTAGACTTATATATTTATACTTAATTTATTTTTAGTATATATAATATTTAATTGACACAAATACTAAAAGAAATGAGATTAATTACTTTGCTTATTGAATTATTATTGAGTTATATATATATATATATATATATATATATATATATATATATATATATATATATATATATATATATATTTATATATTAGTTTTATTGTACTAGTGTGTTAAGAACAAAAGTTAAAAAAAACTCAAATAGCATATGTAGGTACTTCTGAAAATGTTTTGCCTGCAACAAAGACCATGTTTTATTAGTAAGAGAGGGGATATTGTAACAATACACCCTTAATTCGGCTTTAGTTCATAGCGGCGATAAATGACAGCTAATCCTTATAATTATTGATTTGCGTGTTTATTACTTTGTCGATAAGAACAATTGTAATTTGTAACATTTCTCTCTTCTCGTTTAACGAAGAGCACGTTTTCTCGAATGAAAAAACCCAAAAGGAATATTCAACAGGCGGCCTGTAAATAATTTAAATTACATTTAATGCAATAAAATATTGGGAGAATGAAGGAATAAAGAGAAATAAAGAAATGATAAGAAGACAAATGAGAATGTAGGAAAAGTAAGTAAAGTCATGTATAAAGTTTGGCATTCTCGTTCCGATTGCAGAGAATGGGCTGCTCTCCTTCGAGAATCCCAACTACCATCTGGATCCGGCACGGCTGGACGATGCCCTGAACAGTAATGAAAACGGCAGTTCCCTCTACGATGAGCTTTATCAGGAGCTTGTGGGCAGCGGAGGTAGAGGCGGTGTTGGCGGCGGTGGCGGTGGCGGTGGCGGTGGTGGTGGCGGTGGCGTTGGCGTTGGCGTTGGCGGCGGTAGCAGGAGAGGCGGTAGCGAGCTGACGAGCAACACGAGGGTACAGGGACGCCACACCTACCCAGCCCTCGACATCGGCAGCATGGGTGTCGATGTAAGCCAGGGCCCGTTGATTCACGACCCCATGAGCCTCGACGCGTCCGACAACAGCGAGAATCACAATCACGGGTGAGTCGAATAGTAGTGCGCAGCTGCTCATGCGCCACTTTGTCACATGCATGCACGCACGTTGCTCGGTAGGAGGGATGGCGGGGAGAGGGATAAATGAAAAAATCAGGCGCGGAATATTATGAGAGTTAATGCTGGAGGCTGGGAATCGCAGATTATTGTTTGAACGTTTGAACATAACACGGGGTGGAAGTAAACATAAGGGTGCTTAATGTTGAAAACTGTTGTTGCTGGAAATGGATAATTCTGTGTAAGAAATAGCATGGAGTGATGTCAAAGTGTATAATTTTTTTTGACATCGCCAATGTCTATATAGGATGAAGGATATTTTTTTATTTGAAAGTAGCTGGCTTTAATCGGAATAACTTAATCAGGATTTCGGCGTGAGGAGGGGGGGGGGGGGGGGAGGGCATAGATTAGAGGATATTGGTAGATAATCGCGAATAATGCAATGTTTTCAAAATAAATTTAATGAAATTAATGGATATATTGTTGGGCGTTGTAAAGAATTTCGAAGATCGCGCGGTATTAGATGAAATTAGAATTGCTGATGGCTGTGTTTGAAAGGGGAGTGAGCACAAATTGAATTAATAAAATAAACTTATAAACTTTTTCACTGCACTATAGCGAATTTTGGCATTCACAACTTTTAAAAATAAATAGAAGAACCGAGGTAAAGTTTAACGGCAGATGGTTTAATTTCTTTCCTTGTTATATGTTTAGACAATCCAAAGAAATTAAATACTACTTAACGAAACTATTTCGCGACCAGAAAAGTTTCTATGCAGAAAAATAAATTGCACCTTACTGTATATATATAAATGAAAGCGAGCATTAATGAAACTTCACTACTATTTACATTAAATTTATTGAAAAAAAAATGTCCGTATAATTTATGTAGGAATTATATATTTTCATTCCTAAAATTCTAACCTAAAATTTTAAAAATTCGATTCTCCCTCTAACTCGATATTTCCTAAATATCAAAGCTCCATTATTGAAAAGTCATGGAACGCTTTTTTTTATTAATTTATTTCTTAAATGTTATATTCCCACTCTTTTTCTATCCACTTGTCCTTTCAACTTTGCTGCGAAATAAGAATGTTGAAATTGACTATTTATAAGCTGTCGAGTAAAATCAAGTCGAATAGTGAAATTTAAATTATTGCTTCTTGATGAAATACGCAGTTTTTCCTATATTTTAAAACTCCGATAACTTTATACCATTGAAAAGGTAAAGGTAATATCAAGAAATATATTTAGAAGCAATTTTCTTCTTCTCCTTTCTCATCTTATTCACCTTTAGAACACCGACGAAAGCTATATAAGCCTCTTATTTTCTTTCTCATTACGGTTGTTACCAACGAAAATCCCACCACCTCAACGTTTAAATAAGTTACCTTACGTAGTCTCAAGTTTCTCAGATGAAAATCGCCTCTATAGGGGGTGATCAACCGCCAAAAGCGATAGAAATCGAATTTTCATGGAAAAGCATTGTAGCGCTGGTGAATCCATTACCGACTTTTGGGTTAACTTTGTTATAACATACTCATGTATAAAAGGGAGAGGGAGAGAGAGAGAGAGAGAGAGAGAGAGAGAGAGAGAGAGAGAGAGAGAGAGAGAGAGAGAGAGGGAGAGAGGGAGAGGGAGAGAGAGAGAGAGAGAACGAGATATTGAATGAGCGAACGAGAAGGAAAGGAAGTAAGGCATGGAGAGAAATTGTGAAAGGGACAAGGGAAATAGAAAAGGAGAGCGAGAATGTGAGGAAGGGAGGAGAGGAGGAGAATAGGAGAGAGATAAGCGCCTAAAGTCGCGTTACTTGCTCCTTCGTTTTCATACCATTTTCCTTAACCGTGATGCATCCATTTCGTGGTGTGTCTACTCTACCATGAAAAGCGAAGGAAGATTATATGATTCTAAACCCAGCGTCATCCCTAATAGCGTGTAATGCTTATCAATTTTCAGTAAGTTGAGCTGACAATATTATTATCAAGACAATTGTCGAAAAGTACTGTCGGTATTCTTAAAGTTGTTGTTTTCTTTTTTTTAATTTAATTAAAGAAAATTGAGCGATACGTGTGCTTTCTAATAGCTATATTATGCTGATTTAAGTATTTTATTATACTTGCATATTTTATTATACATGCATAATATTTGCAGTTAAATTAATATTTCTTACATACTTACCTCTCGATTTTTAAGATTAATGTTTATGTATGATCCAATATTATCATCACTAATATTAAAATTTTCTAGATTGAATTTATTGAAAATCAAATTACACGATGAAATTTTTATTTGATAAAGTGAGAAGAAAATAGATGTATTAATGAGACGATAAAATTTTCATTAAAAACTTTAAAAGTCGTATATATATATATATATATATATATATATATATATATATATATATAGAAATTTTTATCTAAAATATTATTAAAATTAATGTTTCATCGAATAAACAATGTAATATGGCGATTTATATGCTGATTAGCTAATAATATAGTTTGTGAATAAAAATTAAAAAAAAAAAAGAATAAAAAAAAAAAAAATTAAAAAAGAAAAAAGAAAAAAAAGATTCATCTTCAATTATTAAAATGGCCTTATGAATTTCCATTTTCATTCTCTAATTCGCGAATAGTTTCGTTCGAGCTGAAGATAACCAGATAACTTCTTGAACCTAACATAGAGGCAGCATAGGAAATAAGATTGGTGGTCGAGGAAAGCTTCATGGTCCTTAAACTCCAAGTACTCGAACATAAATGTAGAATCGGATGGGAACGGCCGGACGAGCGACGGCAATTTTTTACAAGAATAGGTATACTAACGATCCTGTCTAGGGTTGGGAGTACACTGAGCGTAAAAAGGGGTGAGATCCAAGCGCTGGGAGCTCGTGTTAGATCGTTTCCGAGCTTGTACCTCGCGGCAGTTACACACTCACCCTTTTGGCATCTCCGCTCGCTGCTCGCTCTTCCATCTCCCTTATTCTGAATGAGATGCCAATCGATATTGCTCACTTAAGTTATGAATCCTTTTGCGTTATTTTATAATATTTTCTCCGCCATAAATCTGAGCATTTCGTCTTCGATCTCAAGAATTTTCAAGAATCTCAACAACCAAAATATTTAACATTTTACGGTCAAAGTTTTTTCTTCTCTAGTTTTTATTTTCTATTACTATCGTTATTATTATTAATATTATTCTGGTTTCTTTAATAGGCTAAGAAATAATTTCAAGATCGAGAATTATAAATTTCACGTGGATTTTCGCACGATTATGCAACACTTGAAATAACCAATGAATTAACAATTTTTGTAATTTAATTGCATCGACAAACTACATTATTCGTTACATACTTTATTCTACTTTACGGCAAATACATATTTGTTTAATATAAAAATTATAAAATATTTTACAATATTATTATAATCAACATATATCGTTGAATGTGAGTTAGAAAATCATGCAAAGTCAATTTGCCCAAAAATACAATACTTAATTGTCTGGATATTATAAATTTTAAATAATACGACTATTCGGAATTTATAAAACATCGATATACATGAATAATTCAATTTACATTATTAAAATTTACAAATTGTCATCCGTGCCTACCACACATACTTATCTCTCATTAGCATATCCCAAGTATATCATTACAAAACAGGCAAAAACATTTCCATTCAGGAATTGCCGTACAGTGATATAAAAAGGACAGGCCCAATTGCTTAATGAAATTCAGGGTAAAAAACAACAAAAAAAAAACACAAGGGCGAACGGCTACAAACAGCTGTGGTTCACAACATATAGATGTAGGACAAATTGAAATTAACGAAGAGTAAGAGAAAGCTTGGTTTAAAAAGCTCCTCGTACACTCGACGACCGCGGAAACTTTATCATCTTGTAATTAGACTGGATGATAATTAAGCAGAGGCTACAAGAACCAGGATGTGCCTTTCTCGCACATTTAACGTGGCCGACTCGTGACGAGAATGTAGGACTGTCTCTCGCTATGGCGCTTCGCAACTGTAATTGGGACGATGAAAGAGAGTGAGTGAGAGAGAGAGAGAGAGAGAGAGTGAAAGAGGGAAGAAACGCATCTCTGCATCTCGGCACTTTTACGTCTATTTTGTTGATCAATTCTAATATTACTATCTTTCTCTCGTTTTTATTGGCAACTACTTCCTCCATTATTCTCATTTCAATTCGCTTACAAACTTAAGCTTAAATAGATTTTCTTATAAGAATAAAGGAATGAGCAAAAAAAAGCAAATAAAAGTCTATAAAAGCTTAACATTTATATACGTCGGCTTTAGAATTACCGTCTCATAATATTTTGATAATTTTACATTCACGCGAATTTCCAGCGAATATTATGTCAAATATTATTTCATATTATTATTATTATTATTATTGTTATTTTATTAAAAAAAAAACAATCATTTATTTTAAAATCATATCGTATGTAATGTACTTATAACGCGAGAATAAATACGTAAACATTTTCCTAAATGATAAGTAACCGTGGAATATAAACATTTAATAAATATAAAATTATCCGGAGTTCCGTGTGGATCTTTTCGAAAACAAAAGGAATCGACTTTTTCATAATTTAATATTTTATATGTTATAAAATATATTGATTTTATATTCTACAGTAATGTAAAATTATTATACTTATATATATATATATATATATATATATATATAGACGTACACACATACACGTTAGAGCATATATTTGCACTTGTAATCGTAGAAATTTTCTACTAAAATATGCGGTGAAATCTTACTAGATTATTAATATAAAAAAAAATTGCTCTATTCTCAATTTAATATTTATATTCCATGAAAGATTCTGCAAAATTTGCATACTAATATAAGTATTATTGTACCAAACCTTATTGTTATAGGAATTTCTTACTATCTCAATTCATATTTATACAAATCAATATTTATTTCAAAATGACGGTAATTAAAAATATTTTTCTTCTATATAT